TACTGATGTCTTTACACTTGGAACTAAATCACTAATCTGAAAAGGTTAATTTTTCCCAATTTCTCCAACAATGCAAAAAACTCCAACTTTCCTCCTCTGTTGTGTCGCAATTATTTTTTTTCTATGTGACTTGCAGAAAACAAACATTTTCTGACCAAACCTACACTATTGTACATTCAGAACACATTCTTTTCCAATATATTTATGTATCTATGTTTCTGTAAAGGATTTCCTGACTACATCTGACATCAAGTTCAAAGGAAAAGAAACTGGAAGCAATAAAGACCAGTGTGTGTGTGTGGAACATACTTACAGATCACAAGGAAATGAAACATTGTTTTATTTTTAACAAAATCCTGAGATTCCAAGTCAATGATCTGTCACACTGAGAGCTTGATAGCCTTGTGCAAGAGTGAACCAACACTCCTGTGTTGGAAAATTATATTGTTCTACAAACCTAAGATAAGTAGGAATGGTATCTCTTGCTTGACAAGAATATTGAGGCAACTGCCTTTCAGAGCTCTAAATCAAAATACTTAGACAAAAAAAATAAACTAAATAAATAAATAAATAAATAAAGCAGTGGCCTTTGAATTTTATTGCCAAGTAAGAGAGATAAAAGCTTTATCTGGTCTGTCTTCCAGTGCCACATGTAGAAGGGAGACTGAGTGCCTACAGTAGATGACTGCATGGTGGGATGGCACATCAGGTGGTCAGTTTGAAGATTTGCTGAATTTGGCTAGTATTTCATAACTCATGTGACTTTTTTTTTCTCAAATGAGCAATAATCTATGAACAACAGATTATGGTAACATGTTTGGAGCACAGAAGGGAAAGAGTGAGTTGGTTGTGTTCCTCCTGAATGAAAGTCACAAGTGCTTCTAGAGCATTCTACCAAGTTCAGAATGGATTGGGTTTTCACAAATATTAAGCTCTTTAACTCATTGCTCTATAAGCTAAGGAAACAGCACTAAGGTGACATTGAGATCAGGTCATACAAGGAATCATCCTAGAGAGCATACTTAGGTATCCAGGGAAAGAACACTCTACCATATCACCATAAAATGAAAATATTCATCTTGTAGGTCCACTTCAGTCAGTGGATTCTTTCTTGTGATAGAAAGAATCTCTAATAGAAATGACAGATTTCTGTAATTATAGAAAGAATCTTCTTTAAATCTTAAATCCTGCTATCACAGGACCATTCACTGGTGGCACTGGTTAACCACACGCTGCACAACATGACAAGACATCTTAGGTGTGCTACTGTACCCCTTTTTACCAGAGGCTCCTTGGGAGCATAATTAAGTGTGCATGAAGGACGGAAGGTTAATACTAATTTTCTTGTTCCATGCACTCCTGTTGCTGAGAAGAGGCAGAATTTGTCCCAACTGTGATATTCATCCCTCTTCAGGTTGTAACAGTTCTCACAATGGGTCAGAGCTCAACAGCAACTGGATAAAAATCACTTTTGTACCAACATAACAACTTTGCAGGTGGAAAGGGGCTGTTAATGTTTCAAGCTAACAACACCATAAGAATGAAGAGCTGAAATGTGGCAGAGGAATATTCTTCTACTCTTTACCACGAAATATAGAAAATCATTGAATTCTTTTCATAAGAGATGGCTCTTTTCTTGTTAGCACCTAAGAAGTGAGGATCATCATGCTTGCTAGCAACAAGCCTAGCTTTCAGCTGATTTGATTTTCCTTAGCTCATCATCTCTGAGCTTCAGACTCTCTATTTGCTGACACTTTCCTGCCCCTTAGTTTGCCATATGCAGACTGTCCCATCAGTATTTGCAAAGCAGTCACAAACTGCAGAGCTCTTCAGCTTTGGAGAAGTCCTGTCTATAAGCATTTGCAGGTCTGCTGTACACCTCACACAACTCATCTGGAAGGGTCAACATAAGACAAGGCTCAAATTAATTCCCCGTTTTTGTCCTTGTTTTGCCACGAGCTGCTGCCCCACATGTAAGCAACACTCACATGTGCAAATTTAAGGGCTCAACACAGGAGCCCAGATGTCATGTCCTAAGAAGTCACAGCTGCAAGTGTGCACAGACAGCTCGAGTGTTTGAGTCCTGCAGATCTTGGACTTGCACTGTGCCCAGAATTCATCCAGGCACATGTGACAGAGATAAAGGGACACTGGCTCAACACTGGTGCCTAAGTACCCACAGCTGTAGCTAAACCTCAGGGCTGCATGATTAATTAAAAAAAAAATAAATCTATAAATCTCTCTTCAAAAGATGAATGCTCTAATTATCTCTCATACAGGCAAAAAAAAAGTAGGCAAATGTCAAAAACCCTGACTTTTAAGTAAAATACATTGCTTTTACAGATCACAGAGAATCTCCACTTATCTCCTTCATTCATTGCAAGTTTCATTTGCTTGCTTGCTTTCAGAAACTTCTGTCTGCTAACTACCTGAAATGTAGTTACTGAGAAAGAATAGCAAAAGCCTCTCACGTTTTTATTATTTATTTTACAAATATGCTGATGTCAATTCTCTGATAAAAGTCAGAAACTTTTTAATTCTCTCCTCCATTGTGCCACTAATGTGAATACGGAATGTTAAAAAAAGACACAAATACTTGTTCAAAAATCAAAGCAGACTCAAACACAACACTTCAGAGATCTTACAAAACGAAATTCATGCTTTAAGCTCCAGCAGGACAAAACTATGGGAATAAGTGCAAGTAGAAATAACAGTAAAACCACAGGCAACTCTACGTCAGAATTCACATGCACAAGTACCTCAAATACTGGAAGAGGTGAGAAATCTGGAAAGCTCCAAGCTAATGATCTGGAACACTCCAAACTAAGGTGCCACTTCCCAGCACATATCATGAGGATGAAATAGTTTAACATTGCCATCTCCAAGGAAACAGTAATCTTTCATGTCTTAAGTTTGAAGGCTTAGGAATGACAAAGACAAATCTAAACTACAACTGAGCATGAGATCTTCCTTCCTCCCTTCCTCTCTTCTTGATCTTCAGGTGTTTTGAGTATTTGATTCTCATACAGAATGCACAGAAATCCAAAACAGCTAAAGTAAAAACCCACCCCTACACCATATCAACATCCCGACAACTGTACCTTAAAATATGTGCCTTTGGCCTCATTTATTTAAGTCACAGCTTCACCGTGCATTCGAGATCACAGTACAGCCAACTCTGAAATGCTGCTACTCAGCAGACTGAACATTGAGATCAATGAGGTTAGAGAGGCACAGAGAGAAATTCTGCAGAAAGCTGTGCCGAGGGGTGAAGGGAAGGTCTTCACAGGGCTGAAAGGAGTCACCTCTGGGCTAATCAATTTGTCAGTCCGTAGCTCCCCTTGCTCAAGGGCCTCTCTTCTCTGCATTACTCCCCAAGAACTGCACTCCATCGAGCACATTTATAATTTCATAAAAGGCAGAAAGCAACACTCATCTGTCCCATGGTCTCAGGCAGCCAAAGCAGCTGCGTTTGTTCTGTTGCCTCACGTTTCATCCACATGCACAGAAGCCAGGGATTTGATTTGCCCTTCCAGGTGCATTGTAATTCCTACTAATTTCTTTAAGAAGTTCCTTCTTTCATCATCACTACCGATACTGTACTGCCAATATCTCTGAAATTGTTTAGGTCAAGATGTTTACTTTTTTTCCCCACAGGATTAAGAAAGGGACTTTCTGCTACAAAGTAAATAAAAGTACTAAGTACTGATGTTATTTAAAACAGGGGAAAAAAAAAGAGCTAATACTGTGTTATGTATCATAGCTGATAAACAGCCTTCTGATCTCTGAGAAGTCCTTGTAGTACACATAAAGCAGATGTTCCCACATTTTTTTGTACAAAAATATACACAATATATCTGCTGCCTACCTTTAAAAACACATGTGGGAACTGTTTTCCCAGTCACTGGAAGTGCATATATAGGACCATTCAAAGTTTTGTTTGTAGAGAACTGACTAAAAACCATAAGATTTACAGCTGCAGTTTACTGAACACATTCATAAATTGCTACATAAAGCTATCCTGTTCACTTGTATACCCTAAAAAGTCTTTTTATGAATGCAGGATCATTTCAGCACAGTCCACGCATGTCTTTTTTTATTCTTCCATCCTGACTTCCAGTTCTTAGGGTGTGTTTTAACAGCTTGTCAAAAATGCCATCTCCCTTCCATCACCAGTACTATTGGAAAAACAATCTAGGGAAATGTTTTTTACAAAGCAGTTTGGAAACTTCCTAAGATGGTCAAAAGATTAAATACTGCAGCCCGACATACAAGGGTATTAAAAAATTAAACAAACAGACCAATAACCCACAATGCAAAGGCAGGAAGGAACGTGGCATATACCGAATCATCAGCTTATTTTTTAATAAGTACATCACAGCTGTGAATAACAAGCTCTAGAAAACACTGAGAAACCAAAAGGAGAATAATACCCCATTGCATTCATTCCTGTGAAGGAACAACACATGAACAGAACTACCTCAGCTACACTTTTCTTAGAAATAGGTCCCTTATGTATCATAGGAAAACCATTTCTGTTAAGTACTTGTCCCAAAGAAGTACTCCAGAAAGGACTGCAGGTCATCATTTTTATATTCCAGCCTCAGTACTCCTTCACACTTACCTTTCCCACAAATGCCTGAAGAATTCCCACTTCCTAAATTAATGTATTTTATAAAGATGCTGTTCTCTAAAACAAAAGGATTTTAGAAGGTAGGTGCCATTCTCTGAAAAACAGCACTTTTAAAACTTGTCATGACAGCACGACCAGGGTGTGCCAAGGCACAACTGCAACAGTGAATTATGCCCATAGACAGATAATCCAGATGGTCCAGCACCACCTGTAATCTTCAATCTCTATTTATGAACACAGAAACGGTCCTGGTGATATTCACCATCACGAAACTCAACTTTGAAATGAAATTCATTCATCTGCAATTTATTTCAAATGATGTTTCTGAACAGGCTGCTCAGGGGGCAGGTCTGAACATTTTGTTTACCTTCACAGTACGCGGAGTCTCCTTGGACAGAGAGATAACCATTCTTGCATTCACAAGTAGCTTTTGTGTTCCAGTTTTTGCACTCTGAATTTTCACCACATCTGTGCCCCTCTGCACAGAAGTTATGGCCTGAAATACAAGGAACATGCAATATGGTATTAAATTGTGTTTATTTCAGATATTCAGATATCTGCATTGACTGTATCACTCAAAAACTTCATCATGCTACATTCCAGAAATTCTCTCTACAATTCTAGCTGGTGCACACAGGCTTTTTGGGTTTCTCCATCCATTCATCCTCAGTAAAACCACTTTGTTCTAAAAGGTATTTGTATGACTACCTTAAGTCAGGAGAAAAGACAACCCCAAAGCAGGAAACAACAACTCATTACTGTTCTACTGAACCCATGAAGCATAAGCCCCTGATTGTCAAAAAGTGCAATACGAACTTACACCAAAAAGACAATAAAGTGAAATATAAAAGAAAAGAAAAATCCTTCAAAATTCTCTTATTATGCAGAACCACACATAGACCAAAATGAGGCACTGCACAAAACTGCACCGGTAGTCAAAGCAACCCCAGAGACTGCCTTGTAATTCTGTCATCAAAAACCAGCTCAATTGTTTCTACAGTTTATAATTATTCCATGCATCATGTTTTATAGAGGAGATTTTTTTTTATTAATCTCTCTTTTTTCCTCCACGAAAAATTCTCGATAGTTTCTTTGTGAACGGCTTCTTTTATTCCACACAAAGTCGTTTCTAAAAATAGGATGAACTTTGCCACTTCCTTCTCTAAAGGCACAACTGGATGAAGTTCTTTCTTTCTGATTTTCAACATTTCTCAAAGACGTGTCAACATCTTTCTCTGCTGAAGTCTAAAGTGAAAGTAATTGCAACTTTATCTCTTTAGAGGCACTCCACTGGAAGTACTGTTAAGAGATAACTTACAGAATTTGACAACAATTTTTTTTTCCTCGGTTGGTGTATGTTTTATGGGCTTTCTCTATTAACATCCAAGAGCCCATTTCTATTTGACTGAGATATATAAGCAGTCATTTTGGCAATTTCTGTTTCGTCTGGGTTTTCTCTCCTGGAAGGAGGGAAAGAAGAAACCCAGACATACCATCACCTATTTGTATTCCAACTTGTGCTTATATGAATACAAAAACAGTTTCTGCCAGCTCTGCCTGGTCATAAAGGAGCAACCTAAGAGTTCCAGTTTACTGATTGTAAACTTTCCTAACAGCCCCCAAAGACAGCTGAGAAAAACATGACCTAGACTTCTAAGATCTAAATGCAGGTCTTTGTTCACCTCCCTTGCTTTGACATTCTATTTTTGTTTGTTTTTAAACACGGACTTTAATCATCTACTGATTTAACATGCAGGTTGTGTCACTTCAGTGCACTCCAAGTTTGTGAGTCTGATCATCTAATGCTGAGTTTTGAGGTAATTTCTAATAAAATGTCAAGGCTTGTTAGCAAGGGGGACACTTTCTCAGTGTCAACATTTAACTCTACACTTGAACTTCAAATTAATTTTATTAACAACCAAGGAATCTTCCCTGTGCTCAGTTAAGCTTGTTCTTTCACTGTAATCCAACTTGTGAAAAAGAACCAATTCCCTTAATGAAAACTTCAGATTTCCCTTCTAGTCTTCACTCATTTCACAGTCTGGTAAAAACCACTCAAGTATTCCAGATACAGCCTTGTCAAGCCTGGGTACTTTTTATTCTGGTAAAATAGGTTGCCAATACACTGCCCTTAGCCATTTATGCAATCACAGTATTTGACTTCTCATTTTTGCCTTTATAACTATAATTGAAACTGAACACTGGAACCCATCTCCTCAAACTTATCCTTTCAGCATCTAATTTATGCTCCCCAAGCAGGATTACTATTCTGTTGGCATTCTAGATAACATCCAAGAGACAACAAGTTTTATAACATTTTCTTTGTCACTGTTTCCCCTAAGACTATGACATCCTAGTCTGTTACTGGTTTCTTTAGCATATTAATTCTCCTTTGAACTCACACACAGTATTAGTTTGATTATTATTGGGTCAGAACCTCTGTAACATATCAGTGTGTTAAACTAGGGACTGAAAAATATCACATTTTAATTCAGTGTGGATTGTTACTCTTAGGGTATTTTTTTTTTAAATATTTATTTCTATTTCCCTTTCATCCAGACCTCTAAAAAATATTTCACCTTTCTCAGCATGTTTTAGTTACAAGAGTGCTAATACAACTTTGTGCACCAAAAAAAAATCTTTGTTTCTAGGCTCTTTTTATCCCAAAGAGTCAACACTTCTACCTTATGATCAGTTCACAGCAAATTTGAGACTCAGAATTCGGCAAAGCAATGGCTTCTCAGAGTTAACTTCCATCACAAGTCCCAGATCAACCACTTTTTTTCAAACAGCACGTTCTCCCAAGCACAAGCCAGTGATTTGTTTTCAATATCACATTCACAATATTCACAGCCCTGTGAATTCTTCAGTGTTTACTGGCCCCCTCTGAAATGTCTCAGTAGATGAACTACCCCAGCTAACCATTTTGCATCACTAGAGCTGTCCCCCTATTTTTCAAAAGTTCTCTGTAAAAACCTGCTTTGCTTTTGCTCCCTTGTTATCACCTCAAAGATGAACTGCCTCCATTCAAAACCAAACTCGGGTTTTCAAGCTTGGAGGCTGCTAAAAGAGGACAGAAGGGAAAAAAAAAAAAAGTAACACTCCAGTTCTGTAACTGGAGTAATTAAAGGCTCTAAAGGACATTTGATTTTTCTCCTGTCATTAGGAAACGCACAAGGATAGAACACCTACTAAATCTCTAGACTGCCTCGGCATTTATTATTATAAAAGACGTGTGAAAAACTGTTTCCTGTCTTTCAAATAAGCTTTCTAGAATGCCTCCACTTGAATTTTCCATAGCATCTCAGAAAGCTTGTTCAATACCTGTGTAAGTGGATAGTGGAAGCCATTCCAGTTAAAAGCATGCAGGGTGCTGTAACACTGTATGTTGCCAAGCTTTTATAATAAAACAACTGTAATTTAAGGTTAACCAGGAGGAAAAATAAAAAAATAAAAAAAAAAGTACTAAACAGTACAGAAGAGTAAGGGTTCACTATGCAGAGTAAGCATAACATTGCTTGGATCAGAGATTTTTCCAAGCACTTCTTTTTGCAGTGAAAATGCACATTTATAAAAGCCAGGAGGAGCATACCAAGGAAAGTGTGGTTCTTGGATTTCTTAGACATGGGTCTCCATTCTCCCCAGCCAGGAGTTTTGGGAGGCAAATAGCTGATTTTTATTAATTCTTTGGTGTGAAATGGATTTATAGGATTCCTTAAAGATAGCTAAACTGATGCCAAACCCACCTGTTGATACTGCAGTGGGATCTCTAAATTTCAGCCCTGGTGGCAGCTAGCAGAGGGCAGGCATTTCAATCAAAATTAATTCAGAATATTCAGCAAAGTCTTATCTGAGACAGTCAGCTCCTCTCTAAATATAAGGAATGGCTTAAAATGGAATCATCACATCATCTGAGCAAAGCAGGCAACTGGAGAGGATTTGACCGAACCACAGAAAATCTTAAATAGTTCAGATATTCTTAACTAATTTCAGGCCAACACAGATGACAAGGCAAGTATGAATTAAAAGGAAGAGACCCAGATACACACTAGCAGACATAACACAATCACTTCTACAGCATCAGGAACTGCACAACTGGCTAGGGCTTAGTGGTCCCAAGTCAGATTATCTGAAATTAAACGTTTACTCCATTTTGGGACACGCCTGTTTTGCCAGGCAGCATCTTCAAGTTGCAGTTCCCAGAAGGTGCTTTGGCACAGCAGCAGGCTAAGCTGTTTCGTGCTGTCACCCAGGTGTTGACAAACCTAACATGCTTGGTAATTTAGCTGAGCTACTGATCGTAGAATGCAAGAATTCCTTCAAGACTATGGCTGGAATCAACACATCTGAGATCCAAACCTCTTCCCGCTTTTTCTGTGGGCAACACTCACGTGCCTCTCATTATATATCAGAGGGTTTCCTTATAACACCTGTAATGTTTCCTGTACTTCTCACAACATCCTTTGCTGTTCACATCAAAAGCTGTAAAACCCCTGTTCTCTTGCTGTTCAAGAAGCCATCCTTCACATTTCACTGCTTCTTAAAAAAACATGGACAATGCTTCTGTTAAAGAGCAGTAGCAACGCTCAGCAAGTCCAAGGTAATTTCAACCTCAAAAATCTTTACTACTCCTATGATTTAACCCTCCAGTTAGGACATAAATACATAAGGTAAATCTGGGGGAGAAGTCACAGGAAGAGTCATAAAATTTGCATTACCAATTATGCCTTTCCATGACCTGAATCTGTTTTTAATGAGTCACGAGCAATGAAGCACTTTGAACAAGAGCTTTTACACCCTCAGAGATTGCGGTCCCAGAACTCAGTGGTCTGACATAAAACAGTAACTTCATAAATTCTTTCAAGCTGCTGTATGAATGCAGAACTTACTACATTGTGCTTATTTGTGTGCAAGAGAATAATGGTAGCTACACAGCCTAACAAGCTTATAAAGATTTCTTTCTCTTTTGTTTTTTTTTTTTTCAGACATAAAGCTCTTCTAAATCCTCAGTAATGCTACAACTATGTTTAGAAATAAACTAATTCATATTTATCAACCTCTATTAAATCTTAATAAATCTAAAGCCTTGAAATAACTCCTACCTCCCAGCAGTAAATGGGAAAAATTCAATTTCTGAAGAATCAAAACTCGGTTTCACAGCTAGACAGGGAGAGATGAGGAACATGCTAACTCAAGAGCCTTCTCACCTTCTAACTGAAAGAGCAAAAACCCCCCAAAACTAAACAAAGAAGTACAAATAAGGATGGCTGAAGCCCCATTTTTAGATTTAAATGCTGTTTCCTGGCGTAAAATGCACACTTCACGTCATCAATAAGATTCTCCATTTCCTGCTAACCAGCATCGGCATCTAAATCCATCAGCCCAATCATACTGCAGGACAGCAAATAAAAATTATTTTCACTAGAAACAAAACCACTCTCACTACTTCATTATATCATCACAATCTTTCTTTTCAGAAGAGCTCGTCTGTAGCTGCAAGGGCTGTTAAGGCTATTCTTGTGTATTTAAAATTGTGAGCATAACAACATAAAAGTTCTCTCATGAAATTTTATTTGAATCACTCATTCAAAAGAGAAAAACAAAAATCCACTCTTTCAAAATTATACACTGTCTTTGGCAAGGAGAAAAACAGCTACAGGGAACAATAAAACACTTTTATTACACTATTTTTTGTATTAGATTTGTCCCTGGGCTATAAAAAATGGAGCAGGCACGCTGTAAGAAAAATGAGTGATTCTCCAAAAAGTAGTAAAAAATACATTTTATGACACCATGATTCTTTGTAAAACTTGAAAATTAACTAAAATTTCTCTAAGCCTAAAAGACAGGTTAATAACACCACATGGTCCTGCTGAAAAGTATAAAGTAGCCACGTAGTTTAAGCAGACATTTATATTAAAGCACATAGGTAAAGGGGAAAACTAGCTATACCCTACATAATATTCAAGGAATAGATGCTATATGCAGATCTAGTGAGGCTCATTTTTGCATTCAGGTACAATCAAATCACAAAAATAAACTGTCACTGTGACGTGGAGTTGAGTTCTTCCGTCCTACGCTCACCTCGCTGTACGCCTCACACAATCACTTTACTGAAAGCTGGAGATGGGCTTTTAGCAACACATTATTAGCTTTTGCTGTCCCATAAACTCATGTGGCAAAGCTGTGAGAATAGGCATTATTTGCTGTCTGCTTTTCTTACCATTTACAAACAATGACGACTAGCTAGAAAGCTCACGGCTACCTGCATTACAGGATTCAGCTCTGCTCACTGACAATTTCCATCCCCATAAACACCACATTTCCCTTGCATACCCTATTTTATTTTAGGCACTTATCTGTTTTTGTGGTAGATACTACAGAGATCCCTGGAGAAGGTACAGTCTCACATCACAGCACCACAAAGTTTTTGTGTTTCTCTGAGTTTTTTTTTTTCTTTCTGTTAACTAAATGGAAATTCCTTTGCTGCAGATAGAAGAGCAAAAGCTGCACGCCTCTTGCCCTTGCCCAGTTCAGGAAATGTATTCTATAATTCTAAAGAACGTGAAATTGAGTAGAGGACATGATTTTCCACAACTATGTAGACTAAAGACAGCACAACCTGACACGAGGCCCAGAACCCACCAGTCACTGACATGCACAGAAATACCGTTTTCATTCAACATTGCTAGTAAATGCTTACTAAATATTCTGTTGAATAAATTAAGGCTTAGCTAAGGGCTAATGCAACAAATTCTCTGCCACCATAAAATTTATATTTCACCCTAAAATGTGAAGTTTGCATGTGATGTGCAGATGATCCATGTGGCCTTCCAACAATTCTGATTATTCAGGACTACAATTATTACAATTCTTTGTCCTAATTATTTTGGCTTAGACAATAAAAGCTGAATATAGCCTCTGAAAGAGGTCACTTCTGCAAACAAGAGAAGCACTCTATCCTTTCCCAGTAAAGCACATGTTGGCACAGGCCAGGACCAGAAACTATGGCCTGCTTGCCACATCAGAGGGTACCTGTTTGCTTGATAAAACTCATACCAAATATGGAATTCTTAATAAATACCCATTTTTAACAACAGCAATCCACATATGATAAAATTATATGTCACTGCTTTAGTTTGCACGCAACTGAAGCAAAGGTGTCAAGCAGCATACATTCTGCTGCAAGATATAAAAAGCAACTTAGGAGTGCTAAATTCAATTTATGCCTTTGTAAAGTTGACAAAATTAATCATATCTCTAGGCATCGTTTTCAAAAGAATTTTAAAGAGCAAAGATGAAACACAAAAGGAGGTGGTACTGTTTTAGCAGTCAGCTAAAGCAGAAGTGAAGTGGAAGTTTAACGTATCAAACTGAAAGCACCATGTGCCAGAATTCACAGGAAGGGAAAGTACAATTCCTTCCTTTGCTTCTAGAGATGATCACATACATATATATATTCATGCTATATTTTAAATAATAAGGCCAGTTTGGAGATGAATTTCTAAAAAGAGTACCTATCAGTAACAATATTACGGAACTGAATAATTACAGGACTTATCTTTCATCAACTCTGAAGCTCTCAGATTTCTAATGCTTTAAAGTAATGAATACAATTTTTTCAGTACTGCACTACATCAAACTGGGCCATCTGTTAAGAAGTATCATTAAGACATCAAGCCCTCTGAGGGACAGAGAAGCAACATTTACTGCTTGCTTAAATAGTTACAGATGTTTCTAGAAACTGCTTTTAAAAAATTAATGTGTATATTAGACCATAGCCCAGCAAAGAATGTCAGACATGCTGGTCCCTGCAACCACGTGCATGTGCTTCTCTAAGTTCAAGGTCTCAGTAAATATTTAACTATGCACACTGATTAATTAATATTTACTGCCAAAAGGAGAGATTCAGAGCCCCTTCACCAGCATCTGGTGAGTGGCACTGGAGGAATTTATATGCAGGCAAGACAAGTATTCCAGGGATCCTCAATAACCAGCTAAGCCTGGAAGTGTCTAATGCTGATCTGGGACAGTACAGACAAACACAGGGAATGATTAATCAACCCCGCAGTTCACTGATTAGAACAACTTTTAAGAAGAAAGCTTGTCCAGCTTCCCTAGCCTTGTGATACCTGCATTTTCCTCATTTAAGGGGATTTCCTCAACTAAGGTTTTAGCTGTGGCTTGTTCAGTCTGGGCCAGCAAACAAGCAGGACTCACAGGGATGAAAGGGAACCAGCAAGAGGAACAGCACCCCCACTGGAAGGAGGAAAAATGGGGTTCTGAGCAATAAGGTTAATTTTTTTAGTTTTGATTTTGTATTTGCATTATTTTATTGTCCAGCCCAACTCATAAGTTAGTCCTGAGAGTGCTCAGATCAACCTCCTAATATCCATCAAACTGGACTCCTAACCCTTTTTTTGCGATTTTAAAATAAAGAGTTTAAAAAAAAATAAAAATTAAAAAAAATTTCCAAAACCATGTACATTTACTGCAGTTGCAAGTTTAACCAACCACACGTATTTCTTTTTCAAACATAACATCCCTGAAATGGGAATTCTTAAGAGATACTGTGCCCTTTCTCACCCAGCTCTTCCTTCTCTCCTTCCTCCCTCTCTAACTCAGAGCAATTGCAGCTTTGTATCTGCTAAGTCTTCTAACCAAAGGAGTATCATAGACTGGTTTTAGACTCAGGTTTATAGCTCATATCACTTAATATCTCATTAAAAAGGAATTATTCCCCCTATTGAATCAGCAGCTTAAATTCCTTCCAAGCATGCACAGTCTCTGGCTTACCTCTACAAACACTGCAGCACTGGTTCTCTGGAAGAACGTGATCATCTTCTGAGCAGTTCAAAGGTGGACAAGTCTCTGTCACTTTTACCAAAACTCCATTCTGAAAATAAACAACATTAAAAGAAAAAAAAAAAATTACACATGGAAAGCATGTGCAACGGCAAGGATCACACAGTTTTCCATCTTTAACACTGGTAATCTCTAGTAACAACCATCTCCAGTAAACTAGCAGGAAGGAAGTTAAATTCATTTGTTCCACCATAACATCAAATCTAAGGTAATCCACTTGTGCATTTCTCCGCCCAGTGTTGAAAGAAAAGACAAGAAAAAGGCACTTCAGCTCAAAATTCTATTCTAGCTTTACCAACTATGTAGTCTCAAAGTACAGTTGTCTTCTTTACAACCATTTGAAGGAATTCAAGAATTTCACTCCAGCTTTTTGTTAAAGACAGTCTTCCCTCTTTATGCAAGTCTGAGTTTTCCTCCCCTTATTTCACAATCTACTTCACAGAAGAAAGCCCATCTTGTGAGGCAGCCCTATAGAAACTGCTGTAAAAAAGAAAATCAAGCTCAAGAAGCTTCTATGATTTTGATTTCTGCCAGATTTAGAGTAAGACTGTGACAGGAAGTCTAGTTGCTGGTAGAAATGTTCTAAAACCATAGACATTAAGCCTTTCTGCAGAGATTTTACACCAAATTTCACTCCATCTCCTTCCCATCCAGCAAATTGGCTTCACTGTATCTCCAGACTGAACAGCTCTCTGGCTCTTTAGTTGGTTGTTTCTTAAAATCTTGTCCCCAAATAGCCTCCTCTTTTACCTTATCCCCCTCCAGCCTTTCTCATACCATAATTTATTTCTTCAGCATCCCTTCTGCAGCTGTGCCATCACTGAGAACTGGCAAGTGGAGCAGAGATTAACAAGTAGAATTTCTGCTCAGTAGGAACTGCAGTAACTACCCCACAGGACTGTCCACACCTGAGTAATCCCATTTTCCAAGCTGTGAAACTCCACTAAGAAAGCAGGCAGGCTGCTCTGTTGCCAATACACCTTTTTAACGTTAATCTAGTCCCCACTTCTCCCAAAATACTCCTCGTGACGTCTCAGAGGGTGGAATGAAAACGTGGAATAAGAATTTCTGCTTTTTTTTTAAAAAAAAAAGAAATTACATTTTCCAGCTACCACGATTGCAGAGATAAGTTTAAAAATATGATACAAAAAAAACACCTAGGGATAAGAAAACAGAGGAAAACCAATACCAAAAAAAAAAAAGGCAACATTTTATTAAGGCCACTATTCTCATAATCTGAGGACTCTGAACAGAGAATGCTGAAAATACCTATGAGCATACCCACTTTGAAGGAACATGCTTATGCAGAAGTTTGCTTTCATATCCACGAGACACTGTGCCACACTGATGCCAAGGGGCTGGCTTCAGGTGCCAGAACCAGTGCAGGTAAAACCTTTGCTGCTAATCATCCTCCCCAGCCACACCACTCTGGTTCAGCTCCGTTCCTTCGGGCTCCAGAGGCAGCTCTCACAGCATCAAGCTGCCCTACACGGCTGGCAAATGCCTGCTGAGTCTGCAGGGCACAAATGATGCCCAGGGCACCCAGCAGATAGCAGGAGTTAGAGCTGAGAGGTGCAGCAGACCCAGGGAATGCAAAACCACCCGTTCTGCAATCGCTGCCCTCGAGGTTACAATCCTAAGGCTGAGCAGGGCCAAGCCGTTTCTCTGGCTTTCCAGCTGACTTTATGGCAAGCTGCACCCCTTGCTGTCATGAAAAATAATGCTAAAAAAAAAAAAAAACACCAACAAAAATCCAGGCATCAGGTTTTGTGATTTTTTTTTATATATATATTTTTTTAAGAAAAAAGCAGCTTCCTGCAGTCCCACATCCAGCAAATGCATCGCTGAAGTGCCCACACAACAACAGTGAAGTTAATGGAGGCACAAGGTCTCCTTCTGATCCCACTTCCATGAGAGAAAGGGAGGAATCCCCCCATGGCTGCCTGGGCAACTGCAGCAGCAAAGATGATAAAAGAAGCAGGCACGCTGAGCCATCATTTACTATCATGTTATCATAGCTACCAGCTAGAAAAGCCCTGGTTTTATATATATATATATATAAACTCATTGCCTGTTTAAGCTCAGACAGGACAATTACAGCAGGAGGAGTACAGGATGTCAACATACGGACAAAGAGCGCTGACTGACAATAAATCTGGTCAAAAATATGGCAAGAAATGGCATGGAAGTGAAATGAGCGATCAGGATGAGTCAAAAAGCTACAGACAAATTTAATCCAAGCTCACAGCTCCTTTAGTGACTCATAAGGAGATAGAAGAACACAAATTGTGAATTCCATTATTTAATGACATGAAGATTTTACTTCCTTAATTTTCCTATTTTCTGCAGAATTTGCATCTTGGGAAAACAAATCAACCTTATTTATAATTAATTTTTAAAACAATTAACATATATCCACGTTGAGTGTTCTTTGGTTTAAAATCAATTTGTTATATGCTAGTACAGATCCAATTATAAGAATTATCATCATTAGATTTCAGACTTCATTCACTGAGATAAGTAAGAACAGTTCACACTTCAGAATTATTGCTTCAGGCAGCCTTAGAAAAATTACTCCTTTTTATACTCAATTCACACATGTAGTCATAGAATCTGGACAGAAATAGATGTCAAAAAGACTTTTTTTTCTGGAATAAATACATCAAACTTCAACTGTAACATACAATACACACAGAATGAGATCTGGAGTCAAACGTTTACAATAAGATAATTAAATTTCTTGTAATTACATGGGCAAGTACATAAAATAAGGATTGGCTGCAAGCCTAATCAGTGACATGCAGTGAAAATCTGAACCACAAACAGCTTATCTCAGATGATAGACTTTGAGAAGTAACAGCAAGATTCAGATAAGGCTATTTGGGGGGGGCGGGGGGGAGGGTTTCCCTGTCTTGATTTAGTTGTATCATGGTTCTAGCCAGAACAGGGTTAATTTTTGCAATAGCCAGGAGGGAGGCATGGCTGGGACCCCTCTCTGAGCCTCCTCCTCTCCAGGCTAAACAGTCCCAGCTCTCTCAGCCTTTGCTCAGGTTAAGAGATGCTCCAGTGCCTTATTTATCCTCACGGCCCATATTTGATCTCTCTCCAGCTGTTCCATCCCTCCCTTGTGGTGGGGAGGCCAGAAAATACAAGTGTGTATGTGCTTTAGAAAAATGGCACCTTTCTGCATTTGGGTTGGCTTACCTATTTATTTCTTTATTTTGGCGTTGGTGGGGTTCACCAGTACGGTGATAGGGTTTATTTAAAGGCATCAGAAAGATTCCTATAACTTTTGTTGGACTGGGAACTTCCAGCTGCTCAGCTGCCTGGGAATGACATGGTGCCTGTTGGTAACCAGACAGCAAAGGTACAAAACCAAAGTCCTCTCCATTAATGCTGGGAGCAGTCAGCATACAAATATTGTGCCATACAAATGCTGGAAAGATGGACAGGGGTCCACTGACCTCCAGGAAGCTTGACTAAAAAGTTCTTTGTAAAGATAAGGAACAGTGTTGTTCTTGAAGTGACAACTAAGGCTGCTACTTGGAGCTTTCTCCCGAGAGACTGATCAGTAACAGCTTGTCGTGGCTTAGGAAGGATATTCTCCAATTTAGTGCTCCCACTGAAATCATCTTCCACTTGCTCACTTCCTCCTCCCCCTCTCCCTCCCCCACAGAGGAGAATTGGAGGCACAAAAAAAAAAAAAAATTAGGATCATGTGTTGAGATAACAACAATTTACTGGAAGGAGCAGCAATAAATTATCGCGGCAATAAATTGGCAACTACAGCTGCACATAAATACCCACAGGGAGGGTGCCAGGCCCTTTTCAGCGGTGCCCAGTGACAAGACCAGAGGCCACAGGCACAAACTGAAACTCAGGAGGGTCCATCTAAACATCAGGTAACACTTTCTCCCTATGAGGGTGACCAATCACCAGCACAGGCAGCCCAGGGAAGCTGTGGAGTCTCCATCCTTGGAGATACTCAAAAGCCATCTGGACACGGCCCGGGGGACCTGGCTCTGTGCAGCCCTGCCCAGGCAGGGGGGTTGGACAAGATGACCTCCAGAGGTCTCTCTCAACCTGAACCATTCTGTGATTCTTAGAAATACCTGTGCACCCATTTTGTCACTGCAGATTCATCTGGAGAGTGCTTGCGGGCAGGATTCCAGCTGGGAATGGCTGTTCAACAGTAACATCTGTGCTTACGGTTAAGAGGATGTGCATCATAAATATTTTTAGCCTGGATTAGTTTTCAGAAATTAAAAGACCATCTCACAGCTTGATAAAGAAAATCTTTGATCTAGCTGGATCCATGAGCAGTATTATTATTTTTGTCCGATGGAAAAAAATACAAAAGTTTAAAAGCCTCTTAAGCTTGGATCAGTACCTATGCAAAGAATAAAATACCTATCTTCAAATAAAAATTCAAATGTGAAATTTCAACTTAATCTTTTTGACATTACCCCACCTACAAATATATCCTCCTTTAGAGACAAAAAGATTTTCAAGTCACCTTTATCAACCCTATTAAATTCACACTTGATGTGTACCCTCCACTGTGTTCCTTCATGGATCATCAGCTTTTGAAACCTGATGTCTGTTTTTCAAGTCTGGAAAATTAAACCATGTTAAATTTGTTGTAGTCCTCCCCTATCACAAAGCCCTTCCTTTATTCACACAACATCTTGTCCACGCAGGGACAGAAAACAATGACACAGCCACAGTTTGACTCATCACCATTCAGCATCACTTCATCTAGTGAGCATTCCTCATTGAGGCAGAAAATAAGGAGGTGTTTTGCTTACAGATTTGGGAGGTCAAATTGCTGAAGACACATTGAATGAACCTCCTGTAGGGACACAGCACCCCACAAAAGCACCCACTTAAAAGCTCTCTCCAGACTAGTGAGGTGTAACATCTACTTGAGGCCCAGCTACAGAAATACTTTCTGTTTGTTGGGTGGTTTTTTGAAGGCAAGGATCCAATTTTTTTTTTTTCTTTTATGGTGTGGCATTCACAGATGTCATTTCGAATACTTATCAATACTCTCCATTAAGATGTAAATACCAACTGCAATGTTGCTGTAATTAGCATTGCCATATCATTTCCCTTTAACAAGAAGCAAAATTCAAAAGCTCTTTTCATTATTTTACTCATGTCTAATGATAGATATTTGATGGTCAGCATTTGCTTTTATTCTTCATGAACATATTATCATACTCATAATGACGAATACAGCACTCTAATTTATAGCACAGAGAAGTTCCACAGGCCTAATTCAGATCACTCTCTCTGCTTTCACTTTAATGTGAAAATCCCCCTGTTCTCATTTTCCCCTCTCAAAGCAGCATTCTATGTTATATTATAAATAACAGGCATCTCAGTCTGTCCTCCAAGGCAATGACCTTGCCCACGTTATTTGTATGTGCAGGGCTGAGCACCCCTCTACAGATGAACAGTAACAACAGCAAAGTAGTTCTGCATAACAAGCTGTTTTCACAACATCTGCAACCAGTTATTGTCCATTTCCATTAGTGTACATAAAATTGCTACTCTCTACACTCAGCTACAAGCACAACAATAACCAGACCACTGTAATCTTTTCCAATACTCTCACCAACAGCCCCTGAATGGTTCTAAGACAGCCTGTTTACCTGAGCTCTTAAATACTGACTGTAGTTGCCTAAGTGTTAGGAATCTGCCAAGGAAGACCCCAGCCCAGCCCAATACTCAGTAATTTACCTTGACAATTAAGAGAGCTATATGGAGCTTAAATAATACCAGGGGAAGTAGAGAGTAACTCAAACAGGATAAACCAAATGGCTTGAATTGCTTTCAGTAATTTGGCTGAAATTAGTCATTGGTTTAAGATGCTGTTACTTCTTTTTCTAGAGCTCATGAAAGCAGAGAGAAAAGAAAACATCCTTCCAAGTCATTTTGTCCCTGTTTTTCTTATCCTGCAAGGGGAATATTCCTGCCTTGTTTTCGTATTTTTGGCTTTTCGCTGACTTCAAGGTCACCTTTTCAAGACAACAGATGTCACATTTGCATGAAGGGAGCCTAAAGAAATGCACTAAACTTTTCACTGTCACTTCTGAACACCACAGATACATTTAAAATCAGGAAAAGTTCGTACAACTGAAACTTACTCGACATTCCCTGCAGCTCTTGGTTAATACTCGTTGACCTTCTGCTAGCACTTTGCCTCCGTAGATACACTTTGCTGTAAATGGAGAGAGGAAGGAGGCAGGTTAAAATTAAATTAAAACAGTATTTAAGCAGTAAACAAATGCAAGGCATAACGCAAAAGTAAAACCAGAATCTATTGAAAAAAATGAATACGTTAAAAAAGTGATGAGTTTTGCTTTCATCAGAAGTCAGTATTATATATATTTACAAGCAAAGCAGCAAACAATTCATTAGTTTTTAAGAGAAAGCAGCATTTTTACCCAAACTAAACAGAGGGAATAAGAGCATAAACAACATGTCCTGGACTCAATTCCTTATCATTCAATGGCAAATATTTTCACTACTGACATTCTGTAGAGTAGTATTTGTGTTACCAGAGGTCTTTGTGAGTCACATTAAGAACTGGAGACATTTATTAGTGTACAGTTCATCGAGAGAATAATATAAGCACAGATTTCAAATTCAGCCTTCATATTTTTTTTGTGGGCACAAAGGTGAACTCTTCAACTTGCTGGAGCACTGCAAAAATGGATTAGATGCAGTGAATGACTGTACTGAATCAACAAACTACGAAAATCTATTTCAGCAAAATATTCCTCCAGCACACATGAAATAAGCAGATTTCCCAGGAAACTGAAAGCTCCTACTCAAAAATTCTTGTCTGAAGTTTTGATCCTTCTGCCAGAGATAATCAGCTCCACAAATGAATCAACAGACTAGAAATTTTGAGCATACCTCATACATTTCAAGGCAAAGTGAGAATCCTGCCCCCACGGAGAAGGCAACCTCCAGCAGGGCCACAGCAGCACAGAGCTTTGTCAAGTATTACCATAACTATCACAATCCCCTTGCAACTACATGTCTAAATTTCACTTCCAGAGACAGACAGTAAATCCATTAATTAAAGAGAACAGCTGGACTGTTACGATCTCACACAAGTATCCGTTGTAAAAGCACCCCTGCATCACTGACCAGGTCAGTGCTAAACACTGATTAAATAACTTTTTGTTGTGGGGTTTCAGCTCCTCCTGTTCTTGACCAGTAACAGCCTGACCTACGGCACCAAAAGCAAAGCTAAAAGGTTTGAATCCTGTGTTGCAATCGAGCAGAGCTCTAAAAGTTTCCCGAGTCAAGCCACATGAGCAGTGCCAGAGTGCTCTGTTCTCAAAAGCCTCAGACTACCTAGGATTGCTCTTCTACCTCAATTTCTCTACTGAATACCGAGGTAAGGGAAGCACTCACAGGTGCATGGGTGTCCCCCCTTACAGCTGATACCAGTAGGAGTAATTATCCCACAGCAGCAACTGCCAGATCCAGTTTGATACCCAAATTTTAAGCAGAAAAGGCTGCGAGGTCACCTTCTTCTAATGACCTTTTGTGAAAATGCTCATTTCTTTAAAAAACAAATAAACAAAAAAAGCTAATTTTCAGGAGAACCCAGTTTTCATCCCCACCAAAGCATTTAAAAACCAGGCTGCTTCTCCTTTTGGTATCCTACTTTTCTTTGTTGATTTTTTTTTTTTCCAAAGCTGCCCTAGTTTTTATACCCAACTTGTTGTGATCTCACTTCGAAAGAACACTTCAGATCAGGAAGCTTCATTTAAATTAGGAATCCCAGTAACTATTTTTGGGAGAATATGAATAGAGAAATTTCCTTTTTCTTTCTGTCTGTTCTTCTGACATGAATGCTTTTAGCAAAAGAATGGAAACACCAGAAAGCAAGTTAATGTACAACTCAGGAAAAAAAAGATATTTTAAACAAAATTATAGTCTTTTGTCAAGTATTATTTGAAAGGTTAAGATGGCAGGGATCAAAACTGAACCACCTAAACCCCTTAACACATCAGACATTAGAGCTACTTTGTTCATTAACCCTTAGCTGAGACAGGAAAGTGTTCAATAATCCAGCCATTCAATAATCCCTGGAGACAGCAAATTACAGCTGATGATTCTATCAGAGCTAAACAGAAAAAGCATGGAGAAAATAACACCTGCAGTGCAGCTCTTCGGAAAAACCTCTGCAATTACGACTATCTCCCCAAAAGTGACTAACTGTGGTCCTAGCACATCATTCTGTCAAGGAGCCGGCATTTACAATCAATTTCAATCAACTTCCACGCGTCCCTTCCCATTGACTGACACGCTGGGTTCTTGTCAGAATAACAAGTCGGGTTTGTGCCAATCACTGACAAAAGGCAAGTTTGATTGTTCCTCTTCCCACTACAAATAACAGGAGCACAGTTTACTCGTGGGGGTACACACTGAACCCGCGATTTTGTGCCTCACAATTCCTCTGTGGCAGGTTCTGGCTGCTGTGCACACACACACACACACACACACACACCACGAGAAGCACCCAGTTTCAGGAAAGAACTTTCTAGGCCCTGTGTCACAAACAAAAACGTTTTGAGACACACAAAAAACCCAAACAAAACAGGCCAGCATGGCCACTTCACCACTCAAGCAGTCTGCTCATGAACACCTTTTAGTATGCAGAATATTCATGCTGACACATAGCTGAGAGAAATGAGATTACATAAGCAAAGAGGAACAAGTGCAAGATCACAGCTAAAGGATATTTGTGCACGGAACTAATGAATTCCACAACTGAAGAAGGGTGACAGAATGCCAAAAAAGTGTTATTGTTTTCCTAATAAATCTTAAAATAATTCAACATCCCTGCCTTAATAAATTATTGAAAAACTCATGCATGAAGTTCACCAGTCTTCCAGAACAAATCAGGGGAAACATAATTTCTTAAGGTATGACTGGTATCAGTATACAGCTCAAATTTTCATATATAAATTGTCTTTGTTCCTTGTACTACTATTAAGGCAGCAAATATTGAATATTCCTTCCATGAACATTATTTGACAGCTTTCATTACCAGAAGAAGGAACTGAAAGCTAACAATAACACCCATCACAAAATGTCCTTAACTTTTCTTCCTTCTCATTAATTTATTTTGAAATTAATTACAGCAAACTATCACTCCACACAGCGACACTAACCCAGGGTCTAACATTCTGTCATGTTTGTTTTAAAGAACAACCTTTCAACCTGAAATAAAAGATTCATCACAACAGAAAGTTCAGGTTTGATGCTCCTCTGCATCAACAGGAGATACCAGCTGAAGCCAAGTAAGGCTTCCCAGCCCCAAACAAGATGAACAATTTTCCACTGACAACAGGTGAAAAGAGTACCTCAGAAATTTGCAATGCTTGTTTCATTTCTCTCAGCAATTATTTATTTCCATCTCAAATCAATTTTGCCACTGTGACTCACATCGCCTGAATCACCAGGACCTCTGAAAGTCACTACAAAACGTGCCTGCTGTCAGGGCAGGTTTAACTCTGCTTAAATGGCAGGTGAAACTGGGAGGCCCTGTGTGATGTACTTACCCTTGCACACTTTGCAGCACTGACTTTCCACGTGCACTGGGAGAGCATCAGGAGGACACTCGAGAGGGGGACAGGACATCCTTCGGCACTCCACGACTCCGCTCTGAGCAAAGGTTTTTAAGACAAAAATTTTAAGTTAGCAAGTGTTTTACAAAAACACAAATAAAGACTGTTCAAGGAAATGAAAATAGCATTCTGGATTACGAACCCATCCTTCAGTTACAGATCTAATCCCATCCAACTACAAAATGAATCAAAGTGCATCTGAAGCCAAACTGCCCCATTTTGACACATATTACTGGTTCTACCCCCCATTCCTTCCCTGAGCAAAATACATTAAGTGAAAAGCACAAGTCCACGTTTACAGGAACAGAAGCACTACTTTCTGTAGGCTGTTCCAATCATCTTTGAGATTTTTAACCATCAGGTTTCTATTTTCCTGAGCAAACAAAGGCTCTCTCCAGATATTTATCAAATAATTTCAAAGATACAAGTTTTACATACTAATTCTCTTTCTGTTCCTTGTATTTCTCAGGCTGATAAATGCTGAAAACAGAATCTGCAAGTTGTTACCATGCAAGATGCGACTAAGCATCCATGAATACTATTAAGATAATGCTTCCTTTTTGAAAAAGCTACTGCAGTGAAAATAATTCCAAACCAAACACAGGCAGTGCCACCCGTTCACCCCCAAACCACGAAGTCCTCACAGCTATAATTAAAACAAATAAGAAAGCACTGTCGAGGGAAAGTAGATTTTATTTATGAAGCCTGCAAATAAGCAATGTTGAAATTTTATTAATTTTACCATTTCCCTCTCTATTGTCCATACTGCCCCTAGATGCATACCAAAAGCATGGTAATTCTCAGAGTTAATATAATGTATTCAAAGGCCATTTTCAGGTTTTTGTTAGGTCAAGAACAGAAACTCCAGAAATTCTTACTTTGCACGTGCAGTTCCTGCAGTGATCATCTTCAACCCATGAGTCTTTGTCTCTATAGATCAATCCATTTACTTGACAAGTCTTCTCACAGTGACAGTCTTCCAATTGACTCAGTCTTGTTTCTGCATAATTTAACTACAAATTAAAGTAACTTGATGAGATTTCTGCAATTCAAACACCTTATTTAAAAAAGAAAAAAACAATATAGTTATTTTTAACCATGCCAAGTTTGCCTACAACCTTTGAAACACTGAATCAGGGTATCAGCAGGTATAAACTAACTCTATTCCTCAGACTTTGATGGATCTACCCATTGCTAATTGACAACAGTTTATGACTCATGCAACAGTGTCTTGAACAGCAACTAAACCCCTCAGGAATGTCTGGATGCTACCAGAAGTACAAAAAGACAATTTTTTTGCCTTTCTTTTAAATTTTTAATCACACATCAACCTGATGACGAGTAAAAAGAGCGGAGAGACTGGCAGACTGACCTCCCCATCTCACCACTGAGATCAGCCAGACTAATACTTTTAACCTTATAACAGCAACTGATATTTGGAGGGAGAAAGAAAGCATTTTAACTCGTGATCACATGGAGAAGCCACACTCCTGGAGTAAACCCTGGGCTGGTGGCTCTCAACACCCCTCGCTGTTCCCGTTACCTCCTCAATTCCGAGGACCTAAAATGCACATCAAGAAGCTAAAACTGATGTATCTTTTCCAGGTAGTGCAACTGCAGGCTGGAAATTGCTAAGTTCACTGATGAGATACTGTGCAATAACAAATGGGGACAATGCTCATTCTGGTAGGAGCAGCAGCAGCAAAGGACAAGGCTTTTTGAACCATCCCTTCATACAGAGCACCCATCTTAACATCCTCCAGAGAGAAACCACCCTGTACCCAGTATCATGACCTCTAATCCCTAAAAGCATTCAAAATTGCTTTTCCATTTTTCTAATACTAAAAAATTAGTAAAAAAAAATGTAGAAATATAGGCTTAGAAATAAATATGTGCATTCTTTCCTGGCTTCTCCCCTGCCCGTACAAAAAACTGAAAGATGACAGGCTTGTGTTAAAAGAAAACATTGTTTCTGACAAAATAAATAACAAAATACAAAAAAACCCCAACCAAGTCATCAACATTTATAAGGAAAAGTTTGTTATTCATAAAAGTGCTCCGCATGATATAAACAAACCAGATTAACTAGTCCATCAAGGAACTCAAGTACTTGATTTTTCTTGATTTTAATCAAAGTCAAGCTTCAACCTTTCTGACCTCAACCAAGCAAAGACTCAGTAGAAAGTTTTGTCTTCATGTAAAATCTGAATACAAAGCACACCCCAGTGTGGGCCCATAATTTACCAAAAGAAATTATATTCCACTCAAAGAAATGCAGGAGGTGCCCAGACTGATTTCAGCAGATTGTTAAAGCTGCCTGAATTATTTTAGCCATTATATTTAAAGAGGAACCAACAGTACTCCAGCATACCAGTTGGGAAGGCTTCAATACAGCACAATCCTTTTCTCCTGCAGCAAATCAACATTTTTTTTTGCCAGATTCTAATACTCTGACACACGGTGTGACTCTATTTAAGGGACACAAGATTACATCAATTGGACATATATACTGGAGAAATTCAGAATTAATTCGAATCATGACAAAAATAAAACAGGTTTTAAAAGCTAGCATTTATTCATCTTTAAAAGCCACATCTTCACAAAACATGGGTAGGACGAGGGCAAAAGTGTGGTGAGATTGTTACAGGTCACGATCAAATGCTCCTGTAGCCAGGACTGTGTGATAACCTGCTACAGACAATGCTCTGCTGGGTCCTTACACAGCCTCCATGTCCCATCCTGAGCCAGCACTGGACTCAGGGGACCCTGAGATAAAGCCCAGGCAGGAGGGTACTCCCCTTTCTTGACTTCATACTGCGTAATTTGCACAGCTACTGAAATTATCAGAGCCTGAAACCTCTTGTTGGGTGTTTTCTCCCAAGGCAAGCCCAGCTCTGTGATCTTCACAGTTTCAATGTATACAAACTGCACACAAACAGTCATTGCAACCCTCCTTGGTCTACTCAGTGCTGTGATGCAGATGTAACAAAAAAAAAAAAAAAAAGATGGAGGGAGAGACTGAAATCTGAGACAAAGCAACAACCAGACATCAAACCGCTTTTTCCAAACGTCTTGTTGTTCGTGCTCTGCATCTCCTGCTGCAGGACCAGGAGCTCGGGATCATTAGCCAGCCATTCTCTGACCAGCTGGCCCTGCTGAACAGGATCTCTGCAGGCAGCTCACAGCCCTTCAGAGCCTTGCTCTTTGCCCCCACACAACATCATCCCATACAGCACACTGGTACCTGCATTCGTAGCACTTGTTGTGGCTGTTGTGGCTAGGACTTAAAAGGCCTAATGCACCAACCTTGATGCTTCCCTCCAGACCCTCAATTTTTAACTTGCATTTGTCCGCCAAATTAACCTCCTTTTCCTGCTGCATGCATATGGACAACAGTATTTCTGTAACAACTGCAACGAGACAGCCAGTGGACTGCTCTAACAGCAAAGGAACTTGCGGTGAAGGATTATCCCAGCACCACTTTATGAAAGCACAGAGTCTTTGCAGTACAAATACTGCGTTATTTGCTTCCCCTCGTAAAGTACTAGCAAGCAAAAATATAATTAACATCAGAGGAAGCAAGTTACTCGGTACAGCGCATAATTGGAACTTGCTCATACCACCAGCAGGGCTCAAAATAATTGCCTCTCTTTCACAGCACAAGCAGAAAACTGAACTAAAAGCTTCACATTTTGCATTCGGAGCCAGCCTGTCCAAAGCACGTCAGCTGAGTAAGTGGATTGTCAGGATAATGCTCACACTCCCTAAAAAAACAGCTTCCCCTTTCCTGTTGGGAAGGGACAGAACCCTTGAAGGCAACCATGTCAAATGTGTAATGTTTTTTACACGAGCAGCACTACTATGCAAAATCTTATTTTTGAAATTCCTGTTCAGTTACTACACTGAGATTAAATGCATCCACAGGTTGGCTGAATTTTCACTTAAATCTGTAAGTAATTAACACATAAATGCTGTTTCAGAAGAGACAATTAATTGTCCTTCACCGCAAACCAGTTGGTTCACCAACATTAACCTCCCAAAGTGTTCAGATTGTCCTTTAACACACATTAGAGGTTCAGTCACCTCTAAAACATAGTTTCCTGCCCCAAAACTTCACCACAGCCTTAGCTGAAGGTCCTTGGCTCACACAGAGGGTGACTGTAGGAGCAGAGCCTAAAGAAAACCTCCAAAATCCAAAACAAACAAACAAAAAAAACCCGCAGCATTATAGAACCCCATTCACCTGGAGCTGGATTAACTTTTACACTGATAAAAAACACTGATCAAAGACTGATCAAAGGTGATGTCAAGATCAGCACAGCCACCACGTTCACAGGCATTTTCATTTTGGGGCCTCCCAGGAAGGACACCATACCAGTCCTGAAGACTTCACAGGACCTCCCCACAAGCAAACACATCCCCTCTGACAGCATCACGTGGTGAGGAAATTATTGAGGGATTTCACTGGTTTGTTTCTGCATTTATCCCTCAGCATGAAAAGGGAAATCAGGCTAGGGCTTCTTACAAAAAAAAAAAAAAAAAAAACAAACCAGCAGACAACTGGGCATTTTTTGGTTGCTATCTTACAAAATAATAAAGTGGACAACAGAAACTCTATTAAGCTTAAGAGACACCCATGGATCTATATCCATAGGTCTACTGCAGACAGGGAGGAAAAAAAATGGCTCCACCATGAAAATGTGGAATAGCTGCATAAGGAATAAATACTTTCATCTTGGCACAGAAGGAAATGGGCAACCAACAACAAAAAAAAAGCTTAGGTACCTACTTTTGCAGTCATTTTTGCCAGGAGTTCTTGCAAATCCATGATTCCTTGCACCAGACTTAAGAAATCACTGCAGGTCGGGCATGCTCAAGAGAGGAAGAGTAAAAAGAAACAGTAAGGAAGAGAAGGAAAGACACAATTACCCATAAATAACCAACAGCCTATCATATTTGATTTATCTGAACATAAAACTCAATCTGTTTACACAGAAGTTCTGCCTTCTGGAAGCGAGCCCGTGCAAAATTTAAAAAAAAAAATTACATGCCCGAAAATATTATTTTTAAAACAAGAAAACAATCTGTATGAAAAATCTAAGATAGGGAAAACAAAGAAATTGCTACTTACTGCGATTCAGATTAGGACACTGCGTTATATATCCATTAGGTATAAAGATGACTTTCACATCTTGAATAACACCCTTTGTAAAAGAAGAGAAAACTGGTAATACAGACTACAAACACTGATTTAAATCCGTAGAAGCTGTTTCACAAGTCATTTCTTCAGTGGCTACTCGGAAAAAATTACAGGCTCGCTCTTCTCGTGAGGAAAACAACTGAAGATGGACAAAGTGTAACAACCCCTCCTATCAGCGTGTTGGGATTTTAATTTTCATAGAACGCAGAAATAATACGGCTTTTGTCTTTTGTAATCGTCAAATATAAGCTGCTTAAGCGCCTTAAAATGGGCGAGACTGGTGAAAAAAAGCAGTGAAATAATAACCATTGCTCAAGCAGATGACAAACTTTTCAAAAAGCCAAAAAATAAGAAATCCCGCGGTGAAACTCTTTAATGATTTAACCAAATAAGACTGTGAAATCAAACACTGCGAAAAGACAAGAGTATAGTGCCAGATGTGAGTAATAGTTCACACTCCCATTGTTTGGTTTCATTTAGCCTACCAGCTCTGTATTTCAACAGGCAGTTCATGAATTAAATCCTCTCTCTAGCCCTGACAGATAGAAAGATGCCCTGCACAGGAGTGGCAGAGGGTCAGAGCCAGTCAGTGCAGGTTGTAGGAGGCTCTTAAACCGAACTGGGCAGGACAGGAGAGAGGCAGGACCAAAAGGCCCAGGGTTGGATACATCCCTCTGTTGTCCCTGACCTGCACAGATACTCCAATGGAAGTGGCAGCTTGCCCAGTGTCCCTGCACTCCTGGGCCCTGAAGAACCCTAGATGCTCCAAATAAGCCAGAAAATGCTGAAGGTTCTGTTTGCTCTCCTAAGATCAGGACAAAGCTTTTCCTACATCTTTAACTTACTTACTTCACAAGATCCACTAGCTTTAATAACATCATGGTCACTAAGGGAGAGGAGAAAGGGAAAACAAGGGACCTCTAGTTGCTGATAGCTGCACTAGCCCTGCCTGTTAATCAGATGTTGTGACACAGCCTCTACCTCCTCCCAGACACAGAAAAATTTCTTTAAACTGCAAATGAATTTATCATGGCAGCTGTTATGATCTAAATAGGTTACTGATTTGCAAGACTATGTTTTAATTTTCAGTTAAATTGCCAAAGAGTGAGTTTTGCAGACCAAGGACATAGTCACTTGCTCACAAACCCTTGAAGTCCACCCACAAATAAACTAAAGGCCTCAGGTAGCCCTTGAAGCCTGGCAAGTACAGCAAATAACATATGATTTAATATTTATATGGTCATCTGTTAAAAGAGCAGAAGGTAATCAGCAAGCTCTGTTTCCTGCTTACTGTTTCATGATCAAATATTAACTGAAAATAGAGTTAATCAGATCACACTGTCTTCCTTTCATAAGTATATACATTTATTAACCTTTTCATCTATGAGAATAATGAAACCATAAGCAATGAGAAGTAACACTGTCACTGGAAATGGAACATCCTGAAAGCCATTTTCCATACTTTCTGTCAGCAGTCATCAGTGAGAAATTAGAAGGTGAGGCATAAAATATATTTCAACTCTTAAGCCTCTCCGGTGAAAAGCTCAACCAAGAGAAAATGAGATTACAAAGTTTCACCAGACCATATCACCCAGCTAACAAGGCACCATCCAGAGAGAAGTGATAAGGTATTTTCTTCAGCCCCCCCTCCCCCTTTTTTTTTTTAAGTGCATCTTCAGCTTCAGATATGCTTGTTGCATGAGAGTCACACTGCTCAATTGTCTTTTGGATAGATTTGCATTTAAATACAGCCTGAAGAGGAAACACAACCACTTTATATGTCTCAATTTCTGGCCACATAAAAGCATATTACCATAGAAAAACATATGAATATGAACTTCAGTTCTCTAACATAGATGCCTTTTAAAAGTCTATAACCATATGAAACAATTAATACGGTCAAGTATAGAAGAGAACTTTCAAATGGCAGAAATTTTGCTGATGAATATTTTTAATAGAAAGACTTCATTATAGGCAAACACTTATTACAGCCATAATTATTGTAACAAACACGAACAAACTCAGATTACTCCTGCTTGAGCATTAAGTCTAGGTTACTGAGAGCTTGGATTTGGCCTTGACAGGGAGATGTCAGCAGCCAAAACCTTTCTAGTTTTTCCCTCCCAAGCAGGCATCACCTTTATATTATCATTAGAAACATTTGGTTAATGGCAATCAAAGCTTCAGTTCAGCATCAGGACTCGCTAGCACGAAGAACCTTCATCTGTGCAGGCAGATTACCAGCTACAGGATGAAATTCAGGTCTGCAGCCCTAAGTATCGACCCCATCCCAGGAGAATGTAACACAACAGCCCAGATTATTGCCTTTCTCATGCCTCTACTAAACAGAACCCTCCTCTCACATTCTGTGAAAGGGCTCATATATTCCATGAGCTCTCCACTTCTGCATTTTCATTTCCCCCCACTGCCTTCCACCCTCTTTAAAACCTCCTTCTCCCACAGAGAAAATGGGAGCCACGCAGCTGTGCCAGTTGCATCGGCCAGGGCTGGGGAGAGGCTCTGCACAGAACACCGGCAGAAATGCCTGAAACTCCTGTGCCCAAGCACAGCCATGCCAAACAGCACCAGACTGCCACTCAATCAGCACTGTGCAGCTGCCCTCGGCACGGTATTTAGTCTGCACCTTAGTCCAGACAACTCTGGGTCTAAAATTATTATAGAGTCATATGAGATTTATATATATATATGAGATATACATATGATGGGGTGCAGTAAAAATACCAATATGCTTCTCAAGCACCTACTATACAATCCCCAGACACGATATGCAGGATCAATAGAGCCTGCTCTAGCAGTTATGAAAATTACTGTCTTTCTACATGAATCACCTTGTCAGCAATGCATTAATAAGCTCATTTCTGCAGTAGCTCTGTGGAGGGACCCCTAGGGAGAAGGGTTCTCCCCAGCAATAAAACGAAATTTTGCAGATAATTCTGATCCTGACAGCAACCAGATCCACCCCAGAGTGAGAGTTCCCTGGATGTGTGGCAACACTCTTTTTCCTTTCAGTTGCATCTACCTGGGTTTCCTAATCTGGTTATAACAGATTATTCTCTAGCCCTAAAACAAATCTTGTGTTTGGGAACGCTGTCCTGCAGAAATTAACCCTGTCCTGGCCAGAACTGGGACAGAGCCACACAAAACAAACCCGAAGGGTCAGAATGTGGCTTTCAGTGGAAGTAATTCACGGGGTTGCTTTCAAAGCTAACAGACAATGCTATCTTAAGTCTGCTTCCACATTTGCTCCCACCACTGCTGGGCTATAACTACACTGTCCTGTCCGAACTCCAAGTGCTTGGTCGTAGCAGGTGAGTTACAACCAGTAAGAGACACCCGCAGCAAGGGGTGAGACTTCAATTCCCTTGATTGCCCCACGGAGCACTTCAGTCCCCAGCAAGGCCACAGGCACAGCAGGACTACTTGTGGAATCATCACTGTAAATAAGGATGTGGAACAAAAGCATAAATACGAAAAACTGCAGCAGCTGGTCACAGTGACTTAGGAATGTCATATCCCTCCTGCCTCTTCTGACATACTGAAGAATTACAATCTAATATAGGTGTGAGATTATGGCCAAAACGTGCTTTAATGCTACTCATTTATGGAGAGAAGCAACAATAAATTAACTACCATTTAAAGAAAAAAGAAAACTTTTGGTATGTCGAAGATAATACTCAGAACAGCATCCGGCGCTTTTTCTCACACACAGTTTCACGGTTCCAGCACACATCCACAAATGCTAATTCTTTTTTAACGCTCTTATTTCCCTGCAGATCTCTGTTTACACATTAAGGAAAATATATCTATTTTTTTATATGCTAAAACAGTGAAACAAATTGGTCTGAAAACGAAAGGGAGGTCCTGCTGAGCATGTAAATATATGGAAAGAGATGTGTGCTCTTTACAAACTGGCAAAATCCCAAGTTTTTGCAACGAGTAAAGTAAAAAAAAAAGTAAGAGACTTTTGAAACTCACAAGCAGGATTAAAAAAACCACAACCAATTATATTTCTGCCCCGAAGAAAGTTGGTAAAATATTCAAGCATGCATAAAGCAAACTAAGGCATTTGTCGGCTTTCATTATGATCAATAAAAATTGTCAGGTCATTAGCATATCATTAGCTACCCTGCTGTTTCCAAAGTGTTAACACGTAGAAATATTAATTTACAAACATATAATATCCCAGAGTTCTGAGGCTCTGACTGTCTGCATAAAATAGGAATTTCAGATAGGCGACTCCAGGATAACTTCTTCCTTTCCCCACATAGCTATAAACATATGTTTACCATCTGTGGAATAGTGGGAAGCAGCTGAGGTAAAAAACCAACAGCTGTAGAATAAAATAATACTATCAATTCCACTTCCCAGTGACAGCTCAGCTGCTGGAGGATGAAATGTACTCCAGGTTCAGAGAAACTCTCAGACCATCATTTAACTTAAAAGTTAGCTTTTACCTCTGCCTCACAATTAAAATGGTGCGTTGCTACGCTGAAACAATTTTAGCATAAAATAATTGTCCTAGCTTGTTAAAATCTGGGGACTCTTGAGGAGAGGTCCTCGGAAAAAAAAGGCAACTTGTAAAATTGTCTTAGGAACTGACAGCTTCAAAGGGAAACCGAGTGGGTGGTAAATCACCTTGGCAACAAATCCATGCCCAGATTGAGGATAGGCAGATTGGCCTTTTGCTGCACTGTAGACTCCTTTCACACGTTAACACTTGTACTGTGGCTTCTAATCCAAAACTGGAATAAATATCAGAAACTTTTACTTTGTCAACAAGCTGTTTACCAACTGTCCACTGTTTCTACAGTTCATATTTCACAAGTGTAAGATCACTAATTGGAAGAGTCTTGTTGACTCTTACTTTTCTTCTTCATGTGTCATTTCGTATCTGCTTACCTTGAAGAAACCATGTTTCCTGTTTCTCTGTCCGAGCCATAAACTGCTTTCAGGTGTCAAATTCGTTTCTGGGGGATCAATGACACGTTCATAAATCCTGTAGAGGGAACACATTGCCATTATTTTGAATTTCGCCACTGAATTTTCTCTTCCCTCTGAAAACTTTCAGCATCAGTTGAAAGTAGACGGAAAGTAGATGGAAAGTAGAACCAAAAGAACAATCAAAAACACACCAAAAAACAACCACCAGTATTTCATTAAACACAATATTTATCATTGATAGTGGTGAAGAAGGTATATTACAACTTTAAAAGCAAAAAGAAAAAAAAAAGAAAAAAAGAAGAGTCCATCATAGCAGAGAAAACAATAAAATAGGACCATCCTAGTCAAACTCAACTATCTGCCCTGGAGAAAACATACAATCATACAGAAGATCCAACCAGATCCAACAACCCTTTGGGACTTTCAGCCTGGTTAGAATTCTGAAAGGACATGGACCCTTCTGCCCTCATTACTGAATTCACTCAGGCCTGGGTGCCACATGTGGTGCCACCACTGGTGTCTGTCACCAGCAACAGGTCTGGCACAGGATGGGACCTGTAATGTGTAATATGAGCTCCATAAGCAGCCTTTATGCACTGCATAAGCTTGCACGTGACTGCAGCAATCTGCATGCCAAATTCCTGAAATTAATTCGCAAAAAATCGCCATGAGACGGAATTTTTAAATTAACGAAGTATTTGGAGTTTGAAAAAAGGTTTTGCTCAGGGGTTTGTTTGTTTCTTTTTGTGTTTTTTATTTTATTTTTAGAAAAGCCATGATGAAGTTTCCATAACAACTCTTCCAGGAACACAAGACCACTACAGTGATATCATCGCTTCAGCACATGAAAAAATTCAAGGCCAGGGTTCCTGACCTTGGATTCTCATATTGCCAGGTCACAATGGAGAAAGCCATGAACTTAACTGCTCCACAACAAAACCAGCATGCTTAATCAGGATTATTGAGAGGATGATGAAATCTGTTTCCATTACTACCCAGCTCGCGGGGAGTGCGTATTGCTGTGTAATCACACCAGTGTGACAGCCAACAGAAAAGATTCTGAACGCATCAAGACCTTCAGCTTAAAAGAGGTGAAATTACCTGGGGTGAAATTATTTCTCTTTTTCCTTTAAAACACCAAAATTAAACACAACCCAACTCACTGCACAGTCATCTTCCCAATTCCACTCCGAGGGTTTCCAGCGCAGGTTCACCAGGTGTAATCATTCATTTCTCACACTGCAAGTTGCCACGGGTATTGGGTTTGCTTTGCAAGGTTTTGTTCTGGGAGAACCTGCCAGAAGCTTTCCCCAGCTCCAACAAAGTCAGCTGGCTCCAGGATGGACCTGCCACTGGCCAAGGCTGAGCCCATCAGGAATGGCTGGGATAACATATTTGAGGAGGAGGAAAAGTTACTGCACCAGAGCAGTTGCATCCAGAGAGAGGATTGAGGACACATGAGACACCCAGGGCAGGGCAGAAGGAAGGGGAGGAGGGGCTGCAGCCCATGGTAAAGGCCATGGGGAGGCAGCTGCAGGCCCATTGCCCATCCCCCTGTGTCATTTGAGGGGAGGACGTAGAGAAAAATCAGAAATGAAGACAAGCACAGGAAGAAGAGAGGGGTGAATGGTAGGTGTTTTATTTCCCATTACTCTACTCTAATTTAATTGGTAAGACATTAAACTAATTTCCCCCAGTCAAGGCTTTTTTGCCTGTGGCTGTAACTAGTGAGTGATCTCTCCCAGCCCTTATCTCAATCCATGAGTCTTTCATTGTATTTTTTTCTCCCCTGTCCAGTTGAGGAGGGGAGTGATAGAGCAGCTTAGATGGGCACTTGGTGTCCAGCCAGGGTCAAACCCACCACACCACGTTATTGGAAAATTCATATATTTGCAGAGGCCTAGAATAACACCCCAGTATTAAAGAACTTCCAGAAAAGATTGATCAGGTTCTTTATGCCAAAGTACAAAGAGTCAAAGTACAAGGAGTCACAATACAAAGAGTCATATATTCCACCCACTTTTGCTTATCAAGAAAAGCAGTAAACCATTTGTCAAAACCAAATGGAAGCAATCTATAAAACTAAAGGCAAACTTACTATTTTAAGAAAAAAAAAAAAAAAAAAACAAGGAAAATCTTAAACCTAAGAACAAAATGGTTGCATGAAAATTACAGCTTAAGAATGCAAATACAGGACTCACAAGACTTCTTCTAATACTCATGATTTTATTGCTCGAGTTTACTGTAGGAATTTTGCATGTACCATCCCTATCAATATTTTAAAGTTTAAGTAGATCCCTTCTGCCATACCTCATGCAAAACCTACTCAAATGCAAAACTGCTGCAAAATTCTGGACAAGGAACCAAGAACTGATATGCTCCTTGAGAGCATGTGCACTGAACTGCACTGTCGTATTAGGAATTTATCTTTGTATATATAACACATCTTTATTCATGATTTTGGTTAATGATGAAATGGGAAATTTCTCATCTCCTAAGGAGTAGTCAATATTCATGAAAGAACTCCATTTCTGCCAACAGATAAAACCCCAATGCTGACCAGATTCAACAACACTACCTAGTGAAGAATATTTGATTTTTATTCACCTGACCTAGTTAAAGTTGATGAAGAAACTCTACAATATCTGTGTGCAATTGCATATTAAAAAAAAAAAAATAATCAAAACCTAACTGACATTGTTATATGACAGTTCAACAATAGCAAGTAAGGAAGACAAATCAAAGGCAGGCTGAAGTAGCTTATCTTGTCTTTTTTGATTATTTAACAGTCTTTCAACCTATGTGGAAAGGGTTATAACAACCTTCTTTCCAGAGGCTCTTAAGAAAGTGCCATTCACAGGACACAAAAGCTCAGGATTCCCCATACTCCTCTACTGCTCTACTCCAATTCAAATTACATTTCTGAAGCAGGTATTTACCTTAAATTAAGGGATTCATTAAAGCTTGGTTTGTGCCTTATTCCACCTATGTCTGAAAGACTGGTTTGTTTTCTTATAAGATATTCCCCTGGAGTAACAGGCTTAGGATTCAAGAGAAGGTATGAGATGTAGATCAGTCCTCCAGTTATCTTCCTATGTCAAAAGATGTTTTGGTTGCCACTATTTGGTTTGTAAACAATGTGAACTTACTTTATTACTGTACACCGTTAAACACCAGCAAATAAAAAGCCCCAGCAATCACACACACAGCTTTTTGCTAATCCTGTAAGCCCCTCTGTACTTCTGGGAAATGCAAAGGTCAAAAAGCACATCAGCCAAAAAAAAAAAAAATACAAATCAAAACCAAAGAAAACAAATAAACAAAAACTCACAAGGAACATGGTTCACCATATACCTTTTCTTCAATGACAAAAGAATTAAAATCCCAGTAAGACTGGAAGCTGCTAAAGAGCTGGAAAACAGCTAAACAAAATAAAACTAGAACCATAAAACTGAAGTAACAACAATGAACCAATCCTACTGCCTTGGAACGTTCATGCTCAGAACACATTCACCAGCCTCTCATCCTTATAGCAAAATGCAGTAAGGAAAACATCTGCTAGTAGACAAATCCCCATTATATTCTTGTGTTTTGTATCCGTATCTCCACTCTATCTACACACTTTGTGAAGTATTCTCATGCAGTCCTCAGGAACACCTTTCTCAGGGAGTCGTTCCAAACAGGAGTCTCTGCCATAATGAAGACAACACGCAGAAAATAGAAAATCTATACAATAATCAGTGGATTCCTGAAAGGAGGCACTTCTAAAATATTTGCATGCTACAACACATACACACACTTTTCTCTGCACAGAAGGACAAGTTCTCCAGAAATCAAGCTCTGTTGGACAAGGAGACAGTTCCACATACTCAATATAAATTATTTTATAGCATCTTTACAATGTGTAAATATACAATGGTTCAACGTGTATGTATAAAATACCTGAAGGTAAAATAGGGAAATATCTTCATTTTACACATGTGCAAACTGAAACCCAGAAAGACTGATTAGCCAAGATCACAAAGTCAGAGTCTTTGCCCAAGATCTGGGCCATTAGACCAGGCATGACTGGGGCTTAGCTGCCTTACACAGTGGATCACACTCCCTCTGGAAAGAGCATAACATGGAATTGTCTCTTGCAGTGAAGGTGACTTCTTACACATAACTTTTAAAACCAGAAGTTAACATGAGGAGAGTATTTCCACTTTTGAGGAGATGCAGCTCTACTTCACACAGACAGTATCGGCCATGCCAGAAGCACTTCCAAAATTACTGAAATATTTAGCAGAACATGAAAATAAACTTTATGTCTGCTCACATTAGAATTCATCAGCCAACACAGACCGATCAGGAGGTGCAACTGCCTAAAATCCTGAACAATAAACCAGGCTGCAATTCAACAGTCGCTACAAAGCAGCACATGAAATCATGACATTTTCAAATTCTTTCAGGCCTAAAATACAAATGGGTTACTAAAATAGGAAAATGCCTTCTCAAATTTGCAGGCTAGACAGGAAAACCCCGAGATTAGCTCACTTGATTAGGGCATGGTGCTAATAACACCGAGGTTGTGGGTTTGACCCCTGGACGGGCCAATCATTTAAGAGCTGGACTTGATGATTCCTGTGGGCCCTTTCCAACTCAGAATATTCTGTGAAATCTGTGAACACACAGCCCCAAACCACATTAATCAGGCTTGAACCAGAGACTTTTAGACTTGTGAAAGTACAAAAGCCCAGGGTTTCCTTTCGCTTGGGGTCCCTCCTCGAAGGCACCCGGCTTGAGCTGCTATTTTGTCACTCAGTTATTGCACCAAGATTAAAGTATTTGAGGGATTTGGACTTCTGTCACACTGCTGTGGGAAACCTGGGGTCAGTCTGGTGGGAAAACCTGGTCTGACTGTGTGATTGTGGTGTGTGCAGGGTGCTCACCAGCTCACCTGGTCTCTGTTAAGGCAAGAACAGGCTTTTTTTTTCCTGGTAGGGCTGCCATAGGTATAAATTTATAAAAAGCTATAAACTCCCATGTAGAGAACAGGTGTTGAGTTCATCACAC